TCGTTCTATGCATACCTAGGCACAGCTTGCACATGCAGTCAATCGGAGAGTGTGGTACAGCACCATCTAGAATATCTCTACCCAACTGCAGGTTCTATGTACTTTTTAAGAAAGCGCCGTCTATTATACTGTTCCGCAGATACTGCCTTCTTTTCTTTCTCGTCTCTTCTTCTCTCGATTACGCGTGACATTTGTATCATATTTAAGGACATAGTGAAAGATGAGGCATCAGTACCAAAAGGACTTATTTGGTTTGCATTCTCTTGTGGTTTGTGGGCAGTATGAATATTTATAGCAATTTGATTTGGAAGTGTATTTATTAAGTGTTTGTGAGTGCCTGCAATGTGCTAACCTAAAACTGAAAAAAAAATTAGTTTTGAGGTGTCGATGTTTGTGTCACTATGAATTAATTGAAACAAAAACTTTAGTCTTGCTATTTTGCCCTACCTTGCAGTGTTAATAGACCTGCTTTGGTTTGCAACTCAGTAGGAGAATTCCTTAGATTGCATTTGTTATAAATAAACATCACTGCCTTCCTGTGCATCCCCTTTTAATCCTAATGATTGGTTACTTTGTATACATAAACCAAACAATACTATTATAATTATATCAGTAATATAATCAATATTCATTTTATATTATTATTATTATTACTATTATTATTTATATTATTATTATTATTATTATTATTATTATTATTATTATTATTATTATTATTATTATTATTATTATTATTATTATTATTATTATTATTGTTGTTGTTGTTGTTGTTGTTGTTGTTGTTGCATCGATAACAGTGCACTTGTTTTGCATTTTACTCATTAAGTTTGTGTTCCACTCTTACACTGTTCAAAGCAGTATTTATAATGTCCTTACAGAAACCTACATATTTTAACTGCATTTAATGGACTCAAATATATCATGCAATCCTGTGATTGTCCTCAGCACATTCTTTCAGGACATCCTGAGGACGTTTTGGGTTTTCGAAGGAGGTACGTATTAGGGAATAACTGATGCATGGCTACCTGTTCTTCATGCAGCCTTACTTTACCTCCAAAAGATCAGGAGATGCCAGTATGAGGCAGAGCAGTTAGACCTCTTCAGAGTAGCTTTATGCCTTTCTATAAATTGCAGTGCCATGTCCTCCTCTGGCAGAGAGGTGCAAGGCAATATGAGGGAAGGGAGTGCCAGCCCCTTTAAACTTCGACGCAGTACACAGCAATATTTGGTTCTGCATATGTCCTGTGCTTTACGCAAACTGTTTTTTAGTTGTTTGCACTGCTTGAAATACCCTGTGTTTTTTTTTTCAAATGAAACATGTACTGGCATAAAATGAACTGTTAATGTTGTCAGCATTAGATGTACAAAAAAAAAAAACATCATGAAAGCAGTGTGCACTTATCACTTATTTGCACTACAGGTATTCTGGGATGAAGTGAATGCCCCTAAGTAAAATGATGATGACGATGATGATAATAATAATGATAATAATAATAATTCACACCAACTGGTATCTCATGAACTGTTACTACATAAATTAGAATGCTATGGATTTAGGGGAACACCACTCAAACTTATGTAGTCATATCTGAGTGCGCGGTCTCAGTATATATGTTGAAATAAATGGCTTCAAATCGCGCACACAACCAATTAAAACCGCAGTACCACAAGGTAGTATCCTGGGGCCTGTATAGTTTTTATACTACATAAATGATATAGTCAGAATTTGTGAAAATTGTAGCTTCATAATATATGCTGATGACTGCACATTATTTTTTACGGGAAAGGATTTAAGTACACTCGAGGCTTTAGCGGCCAACACGTGTTATAAGCTTCGTGAATGGTCCACCAAGAACAATTTAATGTTAAATGAATCAAAAACAAAATGTGTCCTTTTCCGAGCTCTCGGCATATCCCTGCATGTACCAAATTATGTTACCCTAGGCCCCTACGAAATTGCAGTGACCAAATTCATTAAGACGCTTAGAGTAGTTTTTAATGAACGTATGTCCTGGAACGAGCATACAGACCACATTAGTTTAACGTTGAGACGCGTGATTGGCACTCTAAATCGTTGTCGACGTCTTTTGCCCGTTACTGTAAAGCGGCTCTTATATCAGGCTCTTTTCCATGCCCACTTGAACTACTGCGCTTTAGTATAGGCAAACACTACATAAACAAATTTAAATAGGCTAAAAATACTTCAGAAAAGAGCGATCAGGGCAATAGAAAACATATCATACCTTGAACACACAAGACAACTCTTTGTTAAACATAAAATTGTTAAGGCAAATGACATATACAAATTCAGGTTGTTACAATCCTATATTAGCGCAAACAGAGGGAAACTCGACGCATTCCGTGACACTTGCAAATCTTGAACATACACAAACCATTTACTTCCATCGATATAAACCCCCGTGGAAAATTCCGTTATCTCGCACCAATTACGGCAGCCAAAGACTTAGCCACATGCTACCTACTATATTGAACTCATACGAGCAGCAAGACATAAAAATTGACACATTAAACAATATCGATGTGCAAACACTATTCTTGTAGATTTGTATTGTTTACATAGGTCACTCTGTATTGCTTTGCATCATTTATTGTGCACCTTTATATACTTTTTCCTTATTATTTCTTTTGTGTAACCTCATTATGTACCTTTCTTATGTACGAAAGCGATGATACATACTCTGTGAATTACTAGTGCTCATGTGTTTATGAAATATTCCTTTTTGTTTGTGTACCTTGGCCTGTCATTTACTTTGTCTTCTGCTTGTATTGTTTCCTGCTTTATAATATTTGTTTTTTTTTTTCAATTTATTGTATTTCGTTTTCACCCTGTCATTGCTGACGTAGGGTGGACGGTGTTTAGTTAAGCTGCAATAAATTCAGCTTTTTTACCGTCTCCCCATTTTTCGCCATGGTATCTGTTTTGGTGAAAATAAAAATAAATAAATAAAATAATAAAATAAATTATAAGAAATAATTCCAGCTGGTTCCATTTTCAGTCAGGAGTGGTTCTTGCTGAGACCAACTGGAACATCTTGTTAACCTGTTGGCTTCCACTTGGTCCCAGCTGTATACAGCCATGGTTCCAGTTAAAGTAAACCGAAACAGTGGAGTATTTTCACCTGGAAAGGAAAGAGTGTAGAAAGTGATGCATCAAAAGACAGAAAAAAACAAAGGGAAAAGATAAAACACAGAAAACTTTTCTCTTAGGAACAAAAAAAGGCGAGCTCTCAATGAGAAAGAGAGAGAAAGAAGGAGGCACACACACACACACACTTAACTTCTCTCGCCCCCTTTTTTGAGGGCTCGTCGTTTTTCCCTATGCGTCACTTTTAAAAATACTATTACCTGGCTAAATTTTCGCTCTCATACACAGATTCACTGAATTGATGGCGACCTCAGATTTAGCCTAATTGCTCGCTGTCACATGATTGATTGATTTGTGGGGTTTAACGTCCCAAAACCACCATATGATTATGAGAGACGCCGTAGTGGAAGGCTCCGGAAATTTAGACCACCTGGGGTTCTTTAACGTGCACCCAAATCTGAGCACACGGGCCTACAACATTTCCGCCTCCATCGGAAATGCAGCCGCCGCAGCCGGGATTCGATCCCGCGACCTGCGGGTCAGCAGCCGAGTACCTTAGCCACTAGACCACTGCGGCGGGGCTTGCTAGCTGTCACATCCTGTCCCAAAAGTCTCATGCCGGTTGTGCCAGAAAACAGCTTTGCGATGCAAATCCCTATTGTGCGAGTGAGGAGCTGGATCATGCACAGATCATAATGTCAGCCTGATCGCACGAAGTAACGGTAATAACTAAGTAGTACGCCATGCACAATAGAAACGTTTAGTGGGCCCTTAAGTTATGTCATGTTAACTGCAGAAGTGGAAAATGTGCTTTGCCAGCACATTCTTCAACTATGAGCCATGCACTACTGCTGTGTTTTGTATGAATATAAAAGAGAGTACTGTTGTATATTGGTCTGCTTGGTTTTGGTTCCACGATCACTGCCGCAGGTGGCGCCAGTGTTGTTTATGTATATAAGTGTGCGCAAGTTGGAATAAACCCAGACAACACTCGATGTCCTGAGGTCGTCCTCATACGGTACAATCGTCCTCGCACAGTTATCATTGATCTTAGTACTTACTGAGGACGACACAAGCTGGTTTGACCCAGAAACGTCTTTTCGGGTGCTTTTTGAGGACAACAATTTATCCCGAAAAAGTACTTTTAAGGACGTTTTGGAGAGGACAAAAGCAACACGTGAGCGCCGGTTCAAACGTTTTTTTTGAGTGCTTTCTGAGGACAACAATTGGTCTGGAAAAGGTCCTGTTAAGGACCTTTTTGGGATGACAGAACATTGCACTGAGCACTTAAATATAATTCCTCAAGGCCTTTGCGCACCAAATAGATGCATTTGATATGTGAAAACTTTCTTCACGCGTTCGTTTCATACAGTCATAAAGTTATTGTATATTTTCGCCTCGTTTGTTTATTTTTTTGGCAGAAAATTTTCAAATTACGCGTTTCGCTTAATGAGACACGCGTAAATAATTGGCTTAGGTATCGAACCTGGTATTGCGAAATGTCAATTTGAAACAGTGTGTTCACAAAGGTCACCGCCTTGAATTAGTCATTATACGCCACTGTAGCGCGTAATAACAAACTAGCAGCTGGCAACCATTGACTATGCGGCAACATTTTAGATAGTCGAGTAGCCAAGCCATCAAGCCAACTGACTGTCAAAATGGCAGCGGCGGTAAGGTGTGACCACGGAGGAAGGAAAGGTGGGTGCGACTGTTCTCACAACAAATCCGTGCAGGGCGGGGCCTCGCCGCGATGACGTAGCCACCATTTCCTTTTTTTTTTCTCTCTCCCTCCCTCTCTGTTTGGCAGCGCGTTCGCTCAACACCACCACGGCCGGACTCGACGCTCCTTCCGCACGCTGCTTAAGGGGAGCGCCGGAGAAGGAGCGTCGAGTCCGGCCGTGACACCACCTAGACTTGGTTCGCTGTGTGCTGTTCTGTGGCTGTATGCTGTGCGCGGCGTCTCCCTGTTCTATGGCGGCGTGCGCTGTCTTGTCATATTAAGCTGTGGAATATTGAGCTGTTGAGAGGTCCTTGGCTGTTGTCAACGGGAGGTATGCTGTGCGGACATCAAGAGACCTAAATGTAAGAATGTCGCGATTGCTTCTTAATGTTTTGCTCTGCGCGTAGATTTAGCATTGAAACACGTAGATGAAGGGACTCAACACGGCAGGACAGGCTTGTTTGCAGTTGCGGGTTAGTGCAACACTAGACAATTGATTGGTTTTCGCCTTTTCGAAGGTCGGGTTATCATTGTTCTGGTTGCCGGTTCAGTATCCCTGGCACCGATTCATTTCGGTTTGAGTGGAGTACCGGGTCCGGGACGTGACCCGATCTTCAGAAATTTTAAGAAACGTTATTGGAAGTGAACTGTTTTAGTTTCGGGCTCCAGTCATGATTAGAACAGCGCATGCAAGCTAATCATGACTTAAAAAAAAATTAAAGGTCTGCCATAGGGTCACATACCTTATCTATTCTGCTCCTGTGCTGTTTAGATAATTGCCTTGAATTCAAGGCAGAGCTGCGCTTGGGCGTTTATCTTGTTTTCATTTGTGCGTTTCAGAATTAACATTTATGTTATTTTCAACACCGAAAAAGCAATCGTGCGCAACACGAGACACGAGTTGTGGTTGGGTTATTCGTGACACATCCGTATGTGCCATCCCTGGTCCTGCTAAAAGTGTGAATTACACGTTAGAGCGAGGCAGGCCCAATGTTGAACTCATATGAGAAGCTGAAGCGTCAAGCTTTTTTGTAGTGTTGTATTAAAAACCCAAGGCCCAACCAAACTGTAACGTGTTGGTACTGCTTGTAAGCTGTAACTTAAATGCCATACGAAAAAAGTCTGGGTAATTATTAGTAATAACGATAATTATATTTATTATTCTGGTTGACGAAAGCCAGCCAGAATTTCTCGCCAGAGGCAGCGCATCTTAAAGTTTTTTTGCTGCCATTACGCAAAAACTAAAACGAGATTTGATATTGCCCTATGCCATGCATAAAACTAGGTGTCTTCATTAAATCCTCTGTATTGTTTATTTTCAGCCAATGTCGTCTTCTCCGTGATACTGCGGATCTCGAATCCCTCTGGACAATGTGCCGTTTCCAGTTGTCAAGGGAACCGTCAAAGTATGCATATCTGGAATGGAATACTAGCAGAAGACACAGGAGAAAAAGAAGACAAAATATGTTACATCGTGACGCACTTGCAAACGTTTCAATCTCATTCAGATATGCAGTAGCCTTCCAGTTCAAAGATTCTGTGCAGGCAGTGTAAGGTGCATACTTTGCAGGCAGCTGTATTTAACATATTTTCCTTTATACATATGCCCCTTTTGGGGCCCTTAGGGTATTCCTAGCCAATGAATACATTCAGGAAAAGCCCAAGAGCATTACGACTGTGAACGAGACACATAGCCGGAGGTTGCTGCACACGGAAATGTTCAGTTTTGCTGGGACCTCTTCTACCTCCTCTCCCACCTTTGACGTTTTGCCATGCCTTCCCCCCATCAGTAGTTGCGAGCGAAAGAAAATCATGGCTACATCCCTGGTGTGAACTATAAAAACATGGGCTTGTTTTTTTTTGCACTTATCAAAGCCGACCTGTGTGTCTGGTAACATGCAAAAACACCAGAAATAAATATTCTTTATTTCATTTACAGCATACAAGTACAGCTGATTGGCCGAAGGAGTGTACGGAAAAAGTGAACAAACCTCCAAGGCACAAAGAAGAGGGTTCATGAGGCTTCTCTCCTTTGCATGGAAAGGCTATGTAGTAAGCACCATACATTGGGTTACATGTTTTGGATACATAACGGGCAAAAACTAGGCAGCTCTACATTGACTATTTCTAGTTTCACGATACTAAATGTACATGTTAAAGACTTTAGTTCAAAAATACTAGCTGATAAAGGCTAAGTTGAGACGATCACCTTCCGGTAATATTTTCTTGTGCATTCGTGTTCCTTATGCAACCCCTTTTTATATCCCCGTTCCCATATGATGCCATTTAAAAAGCTTTCAGATTGAATAATTAAGCAGCTCACCCAAGTCAGTAGTATCAATATGGACCAGATTTAGGGGAAACCCCCAAGATGGAGTAAGATTCTGCAAAGGAAGGTTTGACATCCACATTTAGGTGGATGTCAAACTTTACTTTGCAGTATCAATATATATACCTAAAGCGTTTCACTGAGGGGGTAGTTCCCATAGTTGCCCTAAAAAAAAAGCGCCAGTTTGTTTGCCCAGCCTCTACATCAACCGGTCACAGCTGTTGCAGCAGTCTTGATGAAATTGCTCTGCTGTGTAGGTAACCATACTTCACATTTTCACAGTAAACTTTTTGTGCTCATTACGCATTCTCTCACATTTGGTTTATTTACAGTCTATGGATATTACAAGCACGTTATGAATGCATCTTAAAATGACCACGCGAAAAAATGTACCGACATGCTTTCACATACAACAGGTACTATATTAAAATGTCAAAAGGAAAGTATAAAAGCAAGCACGTCCGTAGCAAGTACAGAAAGAATGCAACTTTACAAACAGTTTTATACACATAGATTGAAAGCAGAAGCCTAAAAACATACTTTCACACACTCTCTGAATTGAGAGTATCACCAACACAAAAAATTACGGCTGCAATTATACACATACACAGTCGTTGCCAATGTCACAATTGCATGACTATAATGAAGTCTAGTATAAAACATACCATATTAATCTTAAAAGCTCTAAACTTTCTAAAAATTATTCACAAAGATGTCTGAACACTGTGTTTAGGCCAAAGTTATGAATGGTAAAATAAATTGAGTTTTGCAACAATTGCAATTTTTTTAAAAATGAAAAAAAAAATCACAGAGTGGTCCATCTTCACCGTTTCCCCCGATCCTTTCCTAGCAGTCAAAGCTCCAGTCAATGGCAGAGTGAAAGCACACTATAGGCGTCTTCTTTTCGGAAGAGGCTTCAGAGACGAGCATCCTTTTGTCGGTGAGCCCCGAATGTGAAGGCCAGAACTCTGTGGCACAGATTCAGCCAGCTTACGGAAGGTGGCTTGCAATAAGCCCCTAGCTTCCACCAGTGTTTGAACATCATGGCAGCAGTAAAGGAGGGAACTGCACTTTTCCAATTCCTCGGTTATACTTTTGTGTAGCTCCGACACTGAGGGGGCTGCTGTCCCAGGAAGCATAGAAACCCCAGGCTGTAAAGGCACTTCACAAAAGCTGGTCTCATTCACAAAGGGAATGTCTGACTCTGATGCTGCTGTACCAAGATCTTGTGAAGACACTTCAAAGGGCTGGGCTGATTGACAAGGGGAATCTCGGAACTTGTTTCGGATTCTGGACAGCTTCCAAGAGTAATTTGCGGTCGATTGAGGTAACTCTGCGGAAGAGAGGAAAAGCCCCACCTGTCGCTGTACTTAAAAACAACACAAAAGTGCTTGCATGGGTACTTGTGCTTCCTGAAATCAGGGCAGGTACACGATGGCTTGGTGAAGTCGACAGTGTACAGATCATCATCACTTCTTTCAGAATGAACTGTAAACACACCTTCAACGGGGAGCTCTTCCATGTCTGTGGGGGTGTATTCCTCTGCGTTAACAAGCCGTCTCAGCAACACACCTTCAACGGGGAGCTCTTCCATGTCTGTGGGGGTGTATTCCTCTGCGTTAACAAGCCGTCTCAGCATATGCTTAACGAACCCATGAGGCCGGTTGTGCAGGTATGCAGGAACATTTTCACTGTACTGTCTGTACGCTGATGACTGCCTCCTTGCTGTCTCATGGAATTTCGCTTTTTTTGTCGGGAAGGTAGCCATGAACGACAGTCATGATCAGGGATGTTAATGACCGTTTCCCGCTGGAACTTTTCACGTACTGTGCCTTCAACACGCGGTTTTGGGCCTGAATGCCGTTATTTGTGGTCAACACAACGTCAAACTCCAGCCTGTAAGACATGACCCACAGCTCCTTTACTGACAGCCACACTTGTTCAAAGTAACTGCGGAATCTTTCGTTTTTCCAATACTCAGAGTCAACAAGGACTTCAACCGCCTTGTCAAAGTCATGCTGATTTGAAGCACTGGCTACGTGTTTCATGAGTCTCAGGGCCTCATCTGGATCGGATATGTTGTTTTCCTTTCTGCGCAGCCACCTCTGCCATGCCTGTAGTCTATGGAAGTCACAGATGGAGATTTGACTCTCTGGAAACACTTGCTTGATGGCACTCATTTTTGCCTTGCTATAATCCACCATCCAGTATTGTGGGGACCAGTTGTCACACCACTGCTTGAAAACGTCTAAAGCCTGAGCGATACAGTGGGCCATCTCGAACTGTATGATAAACACACCAGCTGGTGTGTATCCCGATGGTGTTTTCACGACAAGCAAGAAAAGTGGTAGGGCATAGTCACTTGTCTTGTGCGTTGCGTCCAGGCAAACTACTGAGCCTCCGTACTTTTTAAGCATGCTCCTCATGAATTTTGTTTGGAAGCAAAACAGCAACGTGTCTTCACACTCGCTGGCAATGTCCTCTTCCACGTTGTCTGAGTCGCTGCAACGTGTCTTCACACTCGCTGGCAATGTCCTCTTCCACGTTGTCTGAGTCGCTGCTACCCACGAAGCTGCGTGCTGCATACGGCCGATAGACAATGAGGATTCGGGTTGCTCACCCCTGATCTTTTCAATTAGGATTCTAGCATTCTCTTGATCAACTGTGCTGAAGCGGTCTTTCTTAAGCACAGCTTGGATCTGGTTGCTGATGTCACGATGTGTTGGGAAAAAGGCCCTGCAGCTGCTATCAGGCTTCTCCTTGTTCGCAAAAAGTACGTCGTGCACATAATAGTGAAGGCACTTTTTCACATCTGATGCAGAAGTAATGCCTTCTCTTGCCAACATCTGAATTCGCTCAGCAACGCTCTTGTCCATGTTTTGGCTGAAAGCTTCCATGTCCTCGAAACCATGGTTTTGATTGATGGGAACTGCAGTCGGTAATCCTAACATATACCCGCGTCTCTTTGGCCACAGTCTGCTGCTCTGCGTCAAGTGTCTCCTGCTGCTCCTTGGCCTTGTCGGCTTTCAGACGACCCTCTCTTGTCTGGCAGCATGGCTGGGGCACATCCACCTAGAAAGCAGGCACTGTTAAGTACACAGATCATATTTTATGGTTTCAAACAGTGCGACAAGATGAGGGCGAAGTCAGGATGAGACATAAGACAGCGTTGAACTAATAGCTGGAAGTATATTTCCACTATTGCCAGTATGTATACATGTGGGAAATAGCAAAATAAGAGCGCAAAGCACAAAACACATACAGTTTTGGCTTAGATGCCGAGACTGTATGCGTTGTGCTCATTTTATCTTTCACACTCTGTTTATCTTGCTATTTCCCACGTGTATACATACTGGCAATGGTGGAAATATAGAGCGCTGTCTTCTGTCTCATCTTGACTTTGCCCTCATCTTGTTGCGCTGCTTGAAACCATAATGATCTTCAACCAACTCTGTTGTGTCAGATTGCACAATCATAAATGACATGATAAAGGTCCCCAGAAATTAATCTGGAATTATTTTTTACTTGTTATTGCACATTACATACCTGGAAATCTGGGTACAACTCAATCCACTTCAAATTCATTGTTGCTGCGCACCCCTTCTTCTTTGTGCCTTGGAGGTTCACCCGCTTCTCGTACACCTCCTTCTGCCAGTCAGTGGTACTTGAACTCTGTAAATGAAGTTAACAATATTTATTTCTCGTGTAAACTTGTAGTAACTTAAAGTAAATCTTCTTTACACTGCCTACACACAATCTTTGAACTGGAAGACTGCTGGATGTGTGCATGAGATTGAAACTTTTGGAAGTGCATCACCATGTAACATACCTGTTTTTTTTTTCTCCTGAGTTTTCTTGTAGTACTCCGTTCCAAATATGCACACTTTGACGGTTTTCTTGACAACTCGGAATGGCAGATTGTCCAGAGAGATTCGAGATCCGCAGTGGATCATGGAGAAGACGACATTGGCTGAAAATAAACAATAAGGATGATTTAATGAAGGCACCTAGTTTTATGCATGGCAGAGGGCAATATCAAATCTTGTTTTACTTTTTGTGTAATGGCAGCAAAAAACTTTATGATGCGCTGCTTCTGACAAGAAATTCTGGTTTTCGTCAACCAGAATAATAAATATAATTATCATCATTATTATTAATAATTACCCAGACTTTTTATGCAGTTTTAAGTTACAACTTACAAGCAGCACCAACACGTTACAGTTTGGTTGGGCCTTGCGATTTTAATATAATTTGGCAAAAAATCTCGACCCTGACCCTTCAACTTCTCATATACAGCATTTAACATCAGGCCCGCCTTGCTCTAGACGTCTAATTCACACTTCCTGGAGGACCACGGATGGCACGCACGGCCGTGTCACAATTAGCTTACTTGCGCGGTGCTAATCATGACTAAAACCGAAAAAATACAGTTCAGTTACAACTGAATAATTTGGGGCGCTAAGCAACGGGGACCAAAGAAACACGCAGACACAGACAAGGCGCCAATTACAGCTCCAATAACGTTTATAGAATCTCTAAAGATCGGGTCATGTCCCGGTAATCCGAACAATACTTCACTCACACGGAAATGAATCGGTTCCAGGGGAACTGTGAACCGGTAACGAAGACAATGATACCTAACCCTAACTTCAAAAAGGCGAAAACCAATAACCGCAACTAAGAAGAAGCCTGTCCTGCCGCGTCCCTAGCTGGTTTAAATTACTACTGCGTGTTTCAATGCTAGATCTACGCGCAGATCAATACATTAAGAAGCAGTCGAGACATCCTCACATTTAGACGACTTGCTCAGGTCTCTTGATGTCCGCACAGCATACCTCTCGTTGACGGCAGCCAGGGACCTCTCAAAAAGCTTTAGCTCTTCGTCTGACTTCAGGTAGCTACGAGAGTAGCCGTCGTCATGACGTAATTCTTGGAGGTACTTTTCGATCACCTTCTGTCGGTCAGGAGGCTCGCTCATCGTTGCGTTCCGATTTTCCGGCCACTTAACAAGACATTGCACGCTTCTCGCTCACGTGGAGTGCACGTCATCACAGCGACCGCGTACCGCGCCGTCAAGCGGAGAGAGCCTTTCTCCGTGGAGAGAGACAGAGAGAAAAAAAAAAGGAAATGGTGGCTACGTCATCGCGGCGAGGCCCCGCCCTATGGTGGCTAGAAGGGAAAGGTGACGCCAAGGGCCGGTCAAAAGCGATGCGCCGTTTCATGCTTGGCGCACGGTGGCGCTGCTTGTAGTTCGATGCCCAGGAGTCGACAGGATGCCCAGGAGTCGACAGAGTAGGAGTCGATGCCCAGGAGTCGACAGAGTAGGAGTCGACAGGAGCGCTGCGTAGAGGTCGGACGTGTTTTTGGAGAGCTCCGGAATGACAGCTACAGATAAGTGTTTTTGCATGTTTCCAGCTTGCCTCTCTATGTAGCGTTATGAGAACGTAAGGCGCTAGCGTAAAGCTTGATTAGGTCTAGTACGGTGTACGTTTTTTTTTTAGTATTTTGTACTGTGTCTTTTTTTTTTCTCCAGCCACCACGTGGCTGAGGCCTGCGCGTAGACCGACCACGTGCATGCGCAGGTGCTGTGAAGTGTAGCGTATTTATTTATTATTGTGGTTCTTTTTGGCTTAGACCAGTGTATTTTAGTACAGTTTTCTAGCACGTGGGCATCGGTAAACTGAGCTAGCCATGGTCAAAAAGACCGTAAAGTGTTCAGAGTGCGGGGTAGGGTGGAAGGTGGAAATTAGTGCGGAGGAGAAAGCAGAAGATGACGCCAAGTGTAGACAGTGCGAGTTCGAGGAGAAAATGAAAAATATGATGGCGGTCCAGAGTGGGCTCATGGAGAAAATCGCAGAGCTGGAGAATTCATTGGCGAAGGAGCGAGAGAAAACGTCAGCCATGGAAGAAAGGCTCCGGGCAGCCGAGAAGGGCCTATCGAAGGTCGTGAAAGGGAACGAAGACGCAGGTGACTGCGGAAGCATTATGGCGACGACCACCCGTGCGGGGGAGATGAAGGAAACAGGCATGACAAAGGCAGATACATTGGCCACAGGGCCCAGCTACCGGGAAGTAGTTTTGAGGGAGGGAGGGAGCAAACCAGCAGCCGTGACTCACGCTAGTCACCTAGTCAGCAGCCAGGTGCAGGTTTCAGAAGGAATGTCTGAACAGGTCATCATCGCCGGTGACTCAAATTTAGTCCGATGCGCAGCGGCAATCAAAGAAAGGGTGAAAGGCGACAAGAGAGTTGCGATAGGGACGTTCCCAGGACAAACGCTGGGGACAGTAATGAGTCAAGCGGGTGAACAACTCGCAGCTAAAGCTAACAATCGTAACCTCGTTGTAATTGCGGGAGGGTTAAATGACGTCCTGAAAAAAGAATCGTCAGGACTAGCGACGACCTTGGCGAAAGGGGTGGATGACATGCGCACCGTGTCCCCCCAGGTGCAAATTGTAGTATGCACATTACCGGAAGTACCAGTACGCAACGTCAACCTGCAGAGAGCGGTTGTCGACGCAAACAAAGAGATATGGCGAATTAGTCGAGAGAAGGGTTTCGAGGTAGTGGATTTAAACAGGGAAGTGCACAGGTGGGGTGGATTCCAAAGAGACAAGATTCATTTCGATAAGAGGCTTGGACACGAGGTGGGCTGGCGACTGGCAGGACGCGCAGTAGCTTTTTTGGGGGGCTCACGGGCCCTTCGGAGTCCGGGGTAGCTCGTAACAGGGAAAACGCCCAGGAGGACGCTTTGACAGGTAGAATTGCGAAAAACCAGAAAAAAGGTAAAAGAAAAAGGAAAAAGGCGCGTGTTGCAATTAGTTACATAAACATGCAGGGTGGCAGAAAGAAGGCAAAATGGTTAGAGATTGAGGAGCAGTTAAACAAAGAACAGATAGGCGTGTATGCGGTTACAGAAACACACCTTAGAGACTTGGAAGAGCCACCACATATTAAAAATTATGTTTGGGAAGGGTGTAACAGGACCATATCGGAAAGGAAAGGTGGGGGAGTAGGAATGCTAATTCACCGCGAAGCCAAATGGGTTAGAGTGAAACAGACGTGTTCAGAGCACCTCTGGGTTCTGGGCACAGTAGGTGGAAAGGAAACGTGGCTAGGGGTAGCCTACTTGTGGACGGGGAATAACTGCAGAGAAAAGAATCAGGAGATAGTGGATTGCATGAGTGCGGATATTAAGGAATTTGGTAATGGGGCCGAAATCATCCTTCTAGGGGACATGAATGCCCACATACATGACCTTGACGGATATTCAGACACCAATGGGAAGTTATTACTAGATCTTTGCGAGCAACATAGTCTGGAGATAGTTAACACGGGGCCTAAATGTGACGGCCAGATCACATGGGAAGTCGGAAACAAGCAATCAAGTATTGATTATTGTCTCATGACGGAAGGAATTTACCACAAACTGACAGAAATGAGGATAGACGAGGAAGGCATTAACAGCTTGGGTAGTGATCATAAACGAATAACATTACAAATGGGATACGAAACTGAAAATATGAGCATGGAATCAAAGTCTGGCAGCTCGTATTTAAATGACAAACAAATAATAAATATAGCCGCAAGAGTCGAGGAAGAAGTAGGCGAAATACCAGGCAAGGACTGGGAGTATAGTGAGCTGTTACATCTAATGACGAAGGAGATAGGGAAAGAGAAGAAAACTGTTTGCTGGAAAGGAAAAAGGAAGCCAAAAAGTTGGTGGAACAAGGAAATCCGGGAGGCGATCGAGAAGCGACGCGAAGCATCACGGGAGCATAGAAAGGCAAAAAAGGAGAAGCGGCCGCAGGACGAAGTAAAAAAAATATGGGAAATATATTTAGAGAAAAAATCCCTTGTACAGAAATTGGTAGAGGCAAAAATTAAAGGTGAAAGTGAACGCTGGATGACAGAGATACACGAAAAAAAGGAGGCCGCGCCTAGGATTTTTTGGAGCCACATAAAGGCGCTAGGTAGGAAGTCTGTCACAACGCAACAACATATTCTAGATGAAGGAGGAAATCAATTGGAAGGGTACGAAGCGCTAGGTTACATCCAAAAGGTAACAGTCGATTCGTTTCAAAAGAGCGTCCAGGGGATCTCCCCGGTGAGTAAAAGTGTGGCGGAGAAAGCCAACAGAGGAAGAGCTAGTACTTGATAATTTCAACTGGAAAAAGGCCGAAGGAAAAATTCCAAAGCGCACTGCCGCGGGTTTTGATGGGATTCCCGTTAGCCTCATTAACGAACTAGGACATAACACTAAAGAAGCATTGTTAAAAGCAGTAGAAAAAAGCTTAAAGGACGGACAAATACCGGACAGTTGGCGACAAAGTAGAATGAACTTAATCTATAAAGGCAAGGGAGAAAAGGACAAGATTCGCTCGTATAGACCACTAACCATTACATCGGTACTATACAGGATGGCGATGCAAGCAGTAAAAATGAAAATAGAAACATGGGCCGAACATAACGATATTTTGGGAGAACTTCAGAACGGATTTCGAGTCGACAGGCGGTTAGACGATAACCTGTTTGTTCTCACTCAGTGTATAGAAATATCTACAATAGAGAATAGGCCCTTGTACGTGGCTTTTCTAGACATCACTGGGGCATACGACAACGTTAATCAGGAAATTTTGTGGGATATATTGAAAGGAATGGGCATGGGCGACGACTGTATACAGCTTTTGAGGGAGATATACCGAGAAAATACAGTTTGCATAGAGTGGGAAGGAATGCGTAGCAAAGAGAACGTTGAGGTTAGCAGGGGTCTGAGACAGGGATGTCCTTTGTCCCCACTGTTATTCATGCTGTACATGGTGAGTATGAAAAAAGCGCTAGAAGGTAGCAACATTGGATTTAACCTGTGACACAAACAGGGCGGCATGATGATTGAGCAGAAGCTTCCAGGTTTATTTTATGCGGACGATATCGTCTTATTTGCGGACAGTCGAGATGATATACAGCAGCTGGCGAATATATGCGGAAGGGAAGGTGAAGCTCTTGGACTAGGATTCAGTGTAACGAAGTGTGGATTGATGGTATTCAATGATCCCTGTGGTCAGACGGTGTCCATACAAGGCCAAGAAATACCGAGGGTAAGTGAATACAAGTACCTTGGAGTATGGGTAAATGAGAGTGATAGATACATGGAGGTACAGGAAAAAGCCTCGGCAGCAAAAGGAAAGAGGAATGCGGCAATAATGAAGCACAGAGCGTTGTGGGGATACAATAGGTATGAGGTGCTTCGAGGTCTGTGGAAGGGTGTAATGGTTCCAGGGCTTACTTTTGGGAACTCAGTGGTGTGCATAAGGGCAGAGGTGCAATCGGGAATGGATGTAAATCAAAGGACTGTGGGACGCCTCGCGTTGGGTGCTCACGGGAAGACGACAAACGAGGCTGTAAAGGGCGATATGGGGTGGGCAAATTTTGAGGCGAGGGAAGCGCAGAGCAAAATAAGGTTCGAAGAAAGGCTAAGAAATATGAAGGAGAGTAGATGGGCAGAGAAGGTGTTCCGTTATTTGTATTGGAAGAGCGTGGACACACAGTGGAGAAAAAGAACTAGAAGACTCACTAGTAAATATACGGCTGGTATTGTAAGCCATATGTCAACAAAGAGCGTTAAGGGAAAAGTCAGGGAGGCGGAGAGGATTTACTGGATGGCAGCTATGGAGAAAAAACCGGCTTTGAGTAACTACCGAAAGGGCAAAAATGAAATAAGGAGGGAGGCATTTTACGATAATTCAAGGGGAAGCGCTTTACTGTTTGAAGCGAGATCGGGTTGCCTTAGAACGCGTAGTTATAAAGCAAGATTCAGTAAAGAAGAAGAACAATGCACATGCTGCGGGAAAGATAAGGAAACGGCGGAGCATGTTCTGATTGAATGTGGAGATATCCACCCAGGTGTATGTTTGGGCACGAGCCTACAGGAAGCCTTGGGTTTTAGGGACAACAATGGAAAGCTGAACACACCCGCGATTGAAATAAGTAAGAGACGGTTAGAGTATTGGTGGCAGAAAATTAG